CACGCCTAAGAATAGGCACTGGAAAAACAGTTTTTAAAATTCACGCCTAAGAATATGCCCTGGTAAAACAGTTTTTAAAATTCACGCCTAAGAATATGCCCTGGAAAATTAGTTTTAAAAATCCACGCCTCAGCATATGCAATGAAAATTTCTTTTGAAAAATCCACGCCAACGAATAGGCACTCTAGAAATTGTTTTGAAAATCCACGCCTAAGAATAGGCACTGGAAAAATTGTTTTAAAAATCCATGCCTAAGAATGGGCACTGGAAAAATTGTTTTAAAAATCCACGACTACGAATAGGCACTGCAAAAATTGTTTTAAAAATTATAAAATTAACCCACATACGAATAGTGACGGTAATAATTACTTTAAAAATTCAAAGACATTACTGCCGCATGTGAGCTGTTAGATTCGATATAGCATGAACGCCTAGACGAAAAATAGGTTTGTTCTCGTTAGATGTTCAACAATTTGGCAATCGCTCAAAAAAGGTTCTTGCCTTCTTGGGGCAAAGAGTGGGTGATTTTTTTTTAAGAGAAACAATTATGCATATTATTTCTTCAACATCCAAGAAACTGGAAAGCAAAAATTACTGCCACTTCTGCGGGAATATTCGGCTAAAATCTTTAAAATATCAAATATACGGTTCCATATTGACCCATTTTTCAAACGAATCGCTTGTAATCCGAGTGGTCAAACCCCTAAAAAGTGCAATCCATTATGATGGGGGTCTATGTATTTTGTTAGAGCTCACATATAGCGTAAAACCTTCTTTTAATATTCCCCCAAATGTTTTCACTCGATAATACATTTGATAAATTTTAAAAGTTCCCCACATAGCGCCGTGAAGGGTATATATCACGATCCGGCAGATCCGAACTTTACTTGTTGGCTGTTTGTTTTGCTTTGTTTTTTTTTATAACCCTTGTGACTACAAATCCAAAGTAGAGGCGACGGCATAGCGGCGCCGTAAATGCTGATAAGTCACGCTGCAGCGATTTTTTGTTCGACTTACTTCATATACTGACAGGCAGTCAGGCAGGCTATAGCTGCCTGACTTGCTGTTGTACGTATTGTGAGCACAAGCCGGTGCAGCAGCAGTCACTACTGTTTGAAGCTCCCCTCCCCGGGCCGTATAGAATAAAGATCAATTGCTAACGTATGTACGTTGTCGTCGTTAACGTCTGAGAATATTTGGAACGTTGAGGGGGGATATAGGGAAATGTTTGAAATAGAATTTGCCAAGACAGAAAAGAACAAAAAAACACGAGAGTGAGAGCAACACCGCCACAATATTGCAAATCACGTTCTTCTTTGGCAATCGGCAACTGTGATTTTGCAATTAGACGCCGCGGTACTCGCCTTTTAGGGGTTTTTGAATTTTTTGCTTCTTCGTGATTTCGGTTTTTGAAGCAAACGAAAAAAGAGTACTGCACTGCTACATGTATGTTGTGTGGGGGATTAGCAGCGTGTAAAGTGGTTTTTGAATTGTTTGTGCAAATAGGAGAATTGCCCAAATTTGGCTGTGGTGTATTCAAACACACATACCCTCACACATACGCAAACAAATGGGGAGGTAATCTCTCTTAAACTGTAAATCAAAAAAAAAAAAAAATACAAAACAAAAAGAATTGATTTTTTAAGGCACCACGAACCATACTCAACATGGATAGACCCCAAGTCGTTGGTGGTGAAAGATGTTTTACTCAACAAAAGTCCAATGGTGAAACAAATTGGGTATTCAATTGGCATGATTTTGTTGACCTAGGACAAAATAAATTGATTGTATTATTTATGTATTTTTTAAATAAATCTATTTTCAATTTTATTTTTCTCTACACTGCTGGCAACAGACCTTCCATCCACAGATCATCCACAACCCTTCATGATTACTTTTTTAAACATTTTTATTTGTTATCATAAATTTGCCACATAACCAAGCGCCATCACATTTTTTCCGGGAAACAAATACTTAAAACACTTGGCCTCTACCACATCCCCTTTCCCCTTTTAAAATAGTTTTGTTGTTATCAGCAAAAAAAATATTTGCAAAATCAGCAACATTGTTGCTATTTCTTTTTATTATTTAATAACAAAATCCAAGACAATAATCAGACGGCGGCTCCACACAGCCCCATACCTTTACCACAGTCATTCAAATGACAACAACAGCAGCAACAACTAAAATATCTGACTGGTCGTGTCTGCTGCCTACCTACCTTCCTGCTTCGTTGTGCAAATCATATGAACAATCAGCTGTTTTGTTCTTATCATAATTTGTGCAAGTATTGGTTGTTAATTTATTTTATTTACTCCTCCAACATTTGCTTCACTCCCCCTTTTCGACACATCATCAGACTGTTATTCTTCGTTAAGCAAAACAATTGGTTATCGTGTTCACAATACACATCCACAACAAACAAAGTCAAACATGTATTGTTGTGTTTATTTATATTTCGAAAAGAGGAGAATTTGCACACATTTGTCATGCCCCACAATACATGCATTGTATTGTTTTTTATTGTTTTCCCATTTCATTATTATGAAGGTCGATTTGCTGTCTCGCTCTATGTTCTCTGTCTCCCACTGACTCGGAGATGAAACCAAGTTTGCCTCTACTTTGCAAATTTGAACATTTCCTTGTTCTCTTGTATTTTCACTCATTCTCTCGCTTGCTTTTACTCTTTGCATTTTCTCAATTGATCAGTGTTTGAGTTATTATTGTTGTTTGCACTCAACCAAACGTGGCTCGGTCTCTTTCTCTCTCTCTCTTTGTTTTCTATATAATGTTGCGAGTGAACACTTGTTAAGAGTGGCGCTAGCAACAGTTGTCATTGATTTTGGCAGCATCGTTTTTATTGTTTTGTTTGGCATTATCTTTGTTGCAAAACAAAACAAAGTAAAACGTTAAATAGTTTTTTTTAATAGTTTAAAAAAATAATAACAAATTGATTAGATTAAACCAGTAAGGAACGTGGTAAAAACGGACGGGCCGACTATATGATATCCTTTTGGGTATATTCAAGAGATGCATCCTAAAATACATCGCATTTTTGAAGTGTCATTGACATGAAATAGGACTAAATTAAATATGTGATCTATGTCTATATATGAACCGACTTAACCTTACGATCAATAACCGGGTACATTTGTACCATTTTATACCCTCCACCATAGTATGGAGGGTATATTAAGTTTGTTTTCCGTTTATAATTCATCGAAATAATCAGTTCTGGCCCTATAATGTATATATTATCTTGATCAGCGTAAAATGACGCTGTGACGATGTCTTTTATAATCACTCTAGCCTCCAAAAAAATGAGATACATCACCAAAATTTAGCAATGAGTTGTCTTTTGTTTAGACATAGCCACCACGTAAGGGTACCCCCAAGTCTCTGGGGTTCTTGAGAGCGCTATTCAAGCGAATTGATAGAAATTTGGTATCATGAGTTCTTATTGGGTACCAAATGTCTCCACTAAAAATTATAAATATCGGTCCAAATTTAATGGTAGCACCCCTATAATGGTACCCCTAATTTTCGGTATTTTGGGGTTCTTGAGCGCGTTTTTCAACCGAATTCGCTAAACTTTGGTACAATGGGTTCTTATTGGCTACATTATTCCGCACACATGTCCTCGGTAACCTATGCCAAATTCAATTTCATTATCGTAGATTTAGAGTCGTTTTTGTTTAATATTCTAGGCTCAATTAAATACCTTAACTTAATACATAATTGGCTATACTAACTTAAGAACGTTATGCAAAATTTGATGGTAATCGAACAAACATGAAGAGTTTGGGAGACGAAAATTTAAATCTGAACCAATATTATCCAAACTTACCAGACGTTATTGTAGAACCATTTCGATGCGTTGGTATAATGTTATGTCAATCGGGCAGACGTTAAGGTTACCCTAACATTAGTAGGTTGTGCAAAATGTTGTGCCAATCGACCTAAATTTGACTCCTTGGTGCACCATTTGCTTAAAATCGGACGAAAATATGTATGGGTCTATATCTAAATCTGAACCGATTTTCAGGAAACTTGACACACATCAGTCTAGACTTAATTTATTACGGTATGCCAAATTTCGTGCAAGTCGGAAGATATATAGGGACTTTGGTGCACCATTTACATTACATCGAACGAAAATATATATGGGAGCTTCGTTTAAATCTGACCCGTGTTTCAGGAAACGTAACATACATCATTCAAGATACAATTTCGTGCAAATCGAAAGACATATAGGGCCTTTGGTGCATCATTTACATAAAATCGGTTGAAAATAAATATATATGGGAGTTATATCAAAATCTGAACCGATTCTCATAAAATTTAACACACACTATTCTAGACTCAATTCAGTACGCTGTGCCAAATTGCAAATCTAAAGATATATAGGAACTTTGGTGCACTATTTAGAATAAAATCAGAATAGGTTTCGTCCTTGGGGCAAATAAATGATTTGTGTCAAATTTGATCTTATTCGGATAATAAATGTGACCTGCACTTTGTTTACAATTTAACATGTACAGATGGACGGACAGGCGGACATCCTTAGGAAAAAAATTAAAACCTGGCCGATGCTTGATTTTTAGAGCAAAATTTTATATTAATAGAAAATTCTTAATCAAATTTCAAATTAAAATAAAATTCTGTCCGCAGTGGTGGTAGTCTTTAAGAAATTTATTTGAATTCTCATAGAGTAGCAAATGTTCCTACCAAAAATTATATATATTTGTCTACGTTTTAAGATAGCCCCTGAACTATTACAGGTATTTTAAATGGGCTCCTCATGTTGTAAGGTGTTAAAGGTTTCACCACTAAAACCTATAAAATTTACGTGTTCTTGTTTTGGAATAGCCCCAATTTTGAAATTTTTGCTCTGATCTCTAAGTCCAATATAGTAAAATTTTCCTATCGATTTATTTTTAATTGACCATTTTTTATTACTATTTTTTCTGTATTTTCTAATCGTTATTTTTTATTTCCAGACTCTTCGAAGTATGTCAATTCCTGGAACGTGAAGGTCAACTAATGGTCCTCTTAGTATTTGAACATTTGGAACAAGATCTTTCAGATTTAATAGAGCGATTACCAAAATCTGGTATGCCACCCACAACAATACAGGTACGTAATTATTTTCCAAAACTAAAAAAGAAAACATTTATTAATTTCATTCGTTTTTATTTCAGCGCCTTTCACGTGAACTATTAACCGGCGTCGACTTTCTTCACTCACATCGCATTATTCACCGTGATTTAAAACCACAAAATCTGCTAATTTCCTCGCAAGGACATTTAAAAATTGCCGATTTCGGTTTGGCCAAAACATATGATTTTGAAATGAAATTAACATCGGTTGTTGTGACGCTGTGGTATCGGGCGCCTGAAGTTCTATTGGCCCAAACATATAACAGTTCCGTTGATATCTGGAGTTCAGCATGCATTATTGCCGAAATGTTTTCACGTAAAGCTCTATTCCCTGGCACATCAGAAGCAAATCAATTGGATCGAATATTTGAGTGAGTGAAAATCATGTATTCTTATTTGAAATTGTAATAACATCTATGATTTAAATCAAAAACACTCTAATCGACTGTTCTATTTACAATTTAATGGAACTATTCTTTTGTGATAATACATTTTAATATTTTATTTACTTTTTATAGATTAACAGGACGTCCAACAGCCCAACAATGGCCAAGAACGATATCGTTATCACGAGAACATTTTCCTGCGCGGCATCCCAAACAACCGAGGGATTTATGTCCTAATCTTTGTGAATATGCAAATGATCTGCTGGCAGTAAGTATTTTATTATTTTTTTAATATATTTTTTTTATTTTCCAAGAATATGTTCCAAAATATTCACAGCGTTTCTATAGAAGACCTTCTGGTTCTCAATATGAACTTTCTTGCCTTCTATATGAAGACCTTCTGGTCTTCTATATGAAGACATTCTGTACTTCTATATGAAGACATTCTGGACTTCTATATGAAGATCTGCTGGTGTCCTATATGAAGGCCTTCCGATCTTTTATAAAAAGATCTTCTGGTCTTCTATGAGAAGACTTTTGGTATTCTAAGTGAAGACCTTCTGGTCTTCTATTTGAAGACTTTCTGGTCTTCTGTATGAAGACCTTCCGGTCTTCTATGCGAAGACCTTCTGCTCTTCTATATGAAGATCTTCTGGACTTCTATGGGAAGATCTCCTGGTTTTCTATAGGTAGACCTTGTGGACTTATATAGGTAGTCCTTGTGATCCTCCTGAAGAACCTTGTAATAGTTCCTGGAGAACTTCTGGATGAATTTGAAGTTCCTGTTATTTAGAAGGAATTCCTTATGCGTAATGAGTGTCAGTCCCGTCCGATAAACTGATTGCATAAATTAACCGCCCCCCGGTAACTCTTCTTGTCAGGTGAAGACTTTCTGGTCTTCTATATGAAGACCTCCTGGTCTTCTATATGAAGACATCCTGGTCTTCTATATGAAGACCGCCTGGTCTTCTATGCGAAGACCATCTGATCTTCTATATGAAGACCTTCTGCACTTCTATGGGAAGATCTCCTGGTTTTCTATAGGTAGACCTTGTGGACTTATATAGGTAGTCCTTGTGATCCTCCTGAAGAACCTTGTAATAGTTCCTGGAGAACTTCTGGATGAATTTGAAGTTCCCGTTATTTAGAAGGAATTCCTTATGCGTAATTGAGTGTCAGTCCCGTCCGATAAACTGGTTGCAGAAATTAACCGCTCCCCGGTAACTCTTCTTGTCAGAGATCTCTTTGACGTTGGCTCGTTTTTTGGTTCCCGGTTTTGGTGATTCATTCATCTTTACGATTGGAAACTCATCAGCCCCAGTATCCACTTCGACGGTCAACTGCCTCAGGGGTCTCAAGACTCCACTACAGGACGGGAAGATGGAGTTTGGGTCTTCTCCCTCGCCAGGGTTTACGTCCCAACTCATCATCTGAGAGGATTCACCTAGTTAGACACTGTAGTGCTAATCACAGTAGTATCCATGACATATTTCTCGTCTGTCAAGGGTGAGTCGTCCCAGGCGGAAGGAGCCATTTTCCTTGATAAGGTTGAGGAGGAGGTGTGGTTTGAGACAAGAGACCGTCCCGTTGGTCGTCATGGGTCATGAGGGTTGAATGGGTTCTGCCCTTGTAGAGTACGAGAATGAGGGTGCCAAGCCAGCGACACCTGCTTCAGTCGAAAAATCATATTTTTATTATTAGTTTTAAAAGAGGTTGGTATTAAAACTCGTCTCCATATAACATTGATTTTGTGAGGATTTGAGGTCGGTCATGGCATAGCCTCTTACCATGGCAAGAACTCGGCAACTAAGCCTGAAAAAACTTGTTGAGGCGTCCAGGTATCAACAAGACTCCGTTCAAATGCAGTTGGGACCCTGACTGCAAACCGTTAACACTGATGGGCACGAGGTCGCCTAACACCCCAACGTTAGCGAGGTCACTTGGGAAGGTAGTGACCTAAGACCTTGGAATTGGATATTTGGATGCGCCATTCTCGCCTCGTCAGTTCTGGGATCATAGGCCCTCGGTCATTTCCTTCGAGACTCTCACCCAGGAAACCGCTGATTGTCCACCACTGTTTATTTGATATTCACAGCTATCCAAAGAATATTTTTGGGCTTCCCACTATCCGCAACCTGTGGACGCGTCCGTTAGCATTCAGCTCTGCTCCCCGTAGGCGGAAGAATAATAGAATAGATGCATATGGAAGATCTCTCGATCGATTAGTAAAAACCCATCGGTATTCCCTAAATAGAACTAGACCCACTGGTCTTCTGTAGAACGAGGTTTGATCTTTAATAGGAAGATCTGACCATCACAGATGTTTGTATGAAGACTCGTTAGTCTTCTAGAAGAGGACCCAGTTATCACCCATTAGAAGGCCCACTGGTCTTCTAAAAAAGGAAGAGCAACCAATATTGTATAAGACAATCTTGTGAGCAACTATAACAAGTCCTCCTGGTCTTCTAAGAGAATGCCCACTTTAGGGAAGAAAGAATAGCCACTATAATAGGAATACATTCATCTTCTAGAAGAAGTCCTTGATTTTAATGGTATATTATAAGACAATGTGGTATTTTTAAAAAGAACTACTTTCAAGCCTACCTATAAATAGTCTTACCTATTGTCATTTAATAAATAATACTCGTATTAATAAATTTATTTATATATTGTTTTCTCTTTTTCTCTTTTTAGCAAATGCTGTCGTATGATTTACGTTTACGACCCTCAGCATTGGCCTGTCTAGAGCATGAATATTTTCAGCAGGAACCTTTGTAAAAAATTATTTATTTATTATTTTCTTTTTTGTTTAGTTTATCTTAAGATTTTTTTTATAAGTTCAAATATTATTTAATAATTAGTTTTAGAATTATGCCACTACCTTAGAATAAAAAAACAAAGAAACAAAAATATATAACTGTAACACTACCAGCTAACAAAACAATTCCTTAATGCATTTCAAATTTGTTCTATGTAACAAAAACAAAAATAAACAAGTGTTCATTTTTTTATTATATTATTTCACTATGTCTGTATTTATGTAATTTTGTTGTTATTAAGAAAATTTATACGGTTTATTGGTAGTCAAAGGATATCTATAGTAGATAAACATTGGCATAAAAATTGTAAAATGGCTTTTGTTTATAGATTTTCTATAAATAAATAAAAAAAAACTACACTTAAACCAAACCTAAACTTTGACTTCAATAAAAAAGAATTCCGTTTTTTAAGCTGCCTAAAAATAGCTGCCAAGAAATTCAGTGTTTCGAAAAAGCCAGTGTTTCTTCTTTTTATTATTATTTGTTCATTGTAGTACCTAAATATGTATGTAAATACAATAGTTTATAAGCATATACATAGGAATGTATAATTGCTTAGTGCAGCAATATCATTTATTGTATTGTCCTACCGTATGTATATTTATTGAATAATCTGTTTATAAATTGTCAAGCCTCGTCATTTGTAGTTGTAAAAACGCATTGTACGCATTTAGTTTTAAGTTTTTTTTATTCTTTTATTAAAAAGAAATTTACATATATAGCATTTTCTTATATGCATACTACATATTTTCATATGAATGTGTTTACATGCACTCAAAAACATAAAAGGCATTTGTTTACTTATATATATATCCTCATATCATTTTGCTGCATTTAAAAATAAAATGTTTATAAAAAATTACGTCTTACATTGTCTTTTAATTTTTTATTTAAAGTGTGTGAGTCTATATGATATCGGGTCAAATGGATTGACTCGATTCGACAGTAAACAAGGTGCAGTGTGCATTAAAACAGGCCGGGAGATATTCTGCGTCGTGTTTAATGCGAATTGTTGTTGCAGTTTTTACTGCTGTGTATTTTCGTTTGGTCAATCTGCAGGAGTAAAGGAAGGTGAGTCAAAATCTTAACAAAGCTCAGGATCTTGGAGATGGGGTTAGTTAATGAGAAAGTGAGTTTGTCAGGGCAATTGAAGAGGTAAAGATTGTCATATTTATCATTACCACATTTTGAGCTCCAATTGTGCCAAAACCACTCTGGTATGTTGTTGTTGTAGCAGGCTTATTGTTTTTACATAATGGGCTGAGGTGACAAACGTTGGCCGAGTAAGTCTCGGGTCGTTTAGGATCGTATACCCCTCTGTCGTGGAACTCTAGTATGTCTCGGTAGCTGCTGTTATCAGAGGCAGACGTTCTCCGACTTTTCTCCGGCATTCATCTTGTATTGCTTCCTCAACTGCTTCAAGTTGAATATAGTCCAATCCTTTTTGATAGGTCTATTGTTCGATGATTACGGGTGGTAATTATGGATCCATCGACTTGCTCCTGTAAATTGTCGATGGGTCAGCTATTCGTCATCTCGAACAGATTAGTTTGAAAAATGTGGTACAGTTGGAAAAAGTAAGCAGATTCTATATTGTAAGACTTTCAGTCGATTGATCCGAAAAAAGAATTCAGTCTGCGTTCTTGAGTGTTATTTTTCCTCGCTATTTCTATATCAATTAAGCAGATAGTTTCATAGACAAGTATTGCTCGTTATAGCAATTTTATATGCCTATTATGTTTCGTTCTGACAGGTCTGAATACATCTCCATTGCGTAGCAATAACATTCGCAGACCATACTGGTACCGCACAGCCGGCCACAGACCGATCAATCGCTTTATAAGATGTCAAAAAGGTTTCCTTATCTGCATCCCAAGTGCTGCCGGCGAGGGACTTGAGGACCTGTGCTCTTTTTCAATTCATTGCAGATATCTTTGCGGAGAATGCTTTCGAATGTGGCCCCTTTTGGTAATAGTTGCTGGTCGAAACTTTATGCACCTGAATCTGCACATTCAATGGTATTTTAATCTCCGCACTCGATGTGGTGGCCAACATTTCGAAGAAGGCTGCAATATTAGCCAGATAGGTGTTCAATCTCGCACATATGTCCTCAACGATAGGACCCGACCTGATGATCATACAATCATCTGCTTCGCACCTGTTCGCAGTTATCCAATATACCGATTGAGGGATCTGTACAACCTCCTATTGGCTATTTCATTGGCAAACTCCTTACGAGCTACCGCGAGGTAGTCGGTAACAGGTGATCAAAAGAACCTGGATGCAGGCTTTCAAAAACAATCTGGCCAGAATTCTCCCGCCATAGAACTACTTCACTGCTGTCTCATAGTAACAGGGAGATAAAAATCATTTTCAAATGGGACAGGAAAGAAGTGAATGAGGAGGAGTTGAAAACTGTTGAATATATATTCTGTAGGTGTCCATCGCTAAATAGCAGAAGTCACAGACAGTTTGGCAAATATAAAATTGTTGAGCACAATGGATAAATGTCTCTGAGTGAATGGTTGCAAATGGCAGCCGTACATGCTTCAATCTAACCTATCACCTGCATACGTAAACAGCTACGGTGATATGACCCACCTTTGGGGAACTCCCTTATTCACTCTATGGGGCTTGAACTTCTTATTCTTCTGTGAACCCGCAACTACATAGATTTCTCTAATACTATGGAGGAGTAATGGCTCAAGAGTCTATCCTACTAGTGATAAAAGTGAGATGGGGTGTATGGTTCACTTTTGCTGCCTCCTTGCTTGGGATTAGTACCTGGCGCACCTTCCCCATTTTCCACGTTTCGCGGCTGTCGACAAATAGAGGACTTTAATGAAGTACTCAACTTCCCTCTCTTCCACCTGTTTTAGCAATACCATAGATATTCCGCCAGGACCCAACGCTTTAGATAACTTTGCGCTACGGATAACCCATACAAAATCATCTATTGTCAACTGTGATGGTACCTTCTCGACAGAAAGAGATCTTATACGACATAGTACTTCACGCCCAACAAGGTCTTCGGTATATGTTTCTATCTAAGAGGTTTCGGATTTGATCTAATTTTTATTCAATTCGCTTCAGATTGAATTTACAAGATTTTGAATTATTGACTCTTTGTGGGGGAGATACCAGAAGGAGTGGGCCAATGGGTCCCATATTCGGACTTGATCTAGGCTTGGTATACATAAAAGGTTGTGTAAAGTTTGGTTCAAATCGGACATTCCATTTGCCTAATAGTGAATTTATAAATATTGAACATTTACACCCTTTGTGGGGAAAGGGGCCACAAGGAGTGGAATAATGGATCTAACATTCGGACTTGATCTATGTTGTGTAAAGATTGGTTCATATCGGACATTCCATTCGCCTAATAGTGAATTTATAAATATTGAACTTTTATACCCTTTGTGGGGGAGGTATTAGAAGGAGAAGACAAATGGGTCCCATCTTAGGACTTGATCCTGACTTGGTGAAGATAATAGGTCGTGCAAAGTTTGATTCAAATCGGATAGTTCGTTCATAGGATATTATAAAATTTGGGCTATAAAACCAAATTTAAGATGAGACACATTTTTGTCGTATACTCTAATTATCCATAAGGCTGAAGGTATTAAAATGTCATTAATTTTATAGATAGTTCCACATAGTATACTTCTGCACCAGTTTTCTCTTAGAATATACAATTTTGAATATCCATTTGGAAATCTGATGCTGGCAACTCTCCAAGCATTGAATGTCAACTTGGTCACACTTAAATACTATTAGCTCCATCTATAGGAAGAATAATGTCCATAGTTAAGACATTGCCATTCATTTACTCATTTACTTATTCGAACCAAGAGACACATTCACCTTCATTCGAACCTTTACAACACAGTCGGGCGAAGCACCGCACGCGTGCACTCTCCCGAGAGTAAGTATCACTATTCTCTCACACACATTCAACTGAACCAATTGAAAAACCATTGACACACACACAAGGACAAGTGCGTGAGAACAGAATTTTTTATGCTCTGCCCGTGCCTGCTTTACAATTAAAAAAAATATGTGTGTATGTATGTATATTTTTTATTACATATAAACAATATGTATTTACTTTTTAATTTAGTCAATAAAATCAGTACTTATGGTATAACTTATCCTAAGGGAGCAAATTGCCTGTCGCCTCTTGGAAGGAATGTTATGTTTTCTATTTTTCTCGAGAAAACAAAAAAATGACAAATTACGCTAACATAAACTTATAATTATATAAAAAACTAAGGGTAATACTAAATTATCTATTTGATCAGTACGGGCTTCTACAAGAGCTGAAATTAATGTGGCCACAATAATGATAAGCCATTGCAATGCATTCAATTGCACAAATTCCATTAAATTGAAAATAATAATGGGTAGCAGGACATAAAGGGTAAAGGCAACGGTACCCTCAATGGAACGGGAACTATCTGGAAAATATATATATTTTGTTATTAAATTAGGAATTACAAATAAGACGGTACGACTTACTTCTCCATTTATGACGACCATATTTCGAACCAATAACACTGGCTGCTGTATCACCAAAACCAATTGTCAAGATACCCGAGAGTAGAGGTAACAATTTAACATTCAGTCCATGTTCATTGGTATTACAGGGGCAGGGCATTATCCAAAGGGGTAGAGAACAACCGATTAATAAACACATCGGTGTAAATGCTATAATACCAGCATCTTTTTCATCGGCAAATGAATGAAAAGCTTTTTCTAAAATTTCTCCCAAAGGTGGCATTTTCAGTATTCGGAGTAAATCGAAAATTGTTATTAATGCCATGGCCACACCGGAGGCAATATATAGAAAGGCACATTCATATAGTAGGCCCGGTATATAGACAAGTACCATAAAAATGTGAAACAGTTTTCGTACACTAGTCGTTGCATGTTGAGCATTACGAAGTTGCCAGCAGACCACAGCCACTGTGGCAATAACCAGGGCCACATAAAATAAAAT